ACATCCTTGCGTTTCATTACCGAATCAAAAGGGAAAAACTGACATGATCAGACATAAAGCAAAATAATAATACAAAAAGGAGATTCTATTATTAAAAAATAAATAAATAAAAGAAGCGAAGGTGATATACTATTCATTCATGTAGCTTTAGAATTATTGTCTCTATTCATGTATTTTTTTTATTGTTTCTTGATCCTTTTTCTTTGAGAGATAAATTAATTAGTCGCTTTGGTTTGAAAATTAATTTTTTTTTATCCTTTTCGCATTTTACTATTTTTATTTTTTGTTTTAAGAAATAAAAATATTTTTTGAGAAATAAATTAATTAGTCTATTTGGTTTGAAAACTGATTTTTTTTTTAATCCTTTTTACCAATTCCATTTACTTTAGCAGTCCTTTTTTTTAAAAAAAAACGTCTAGTCTCCTTTTTTTTTTTCTCCCTTCTGGGGTCGAGCTACTGGAACTTTATTGTAGCATTCCATTTTCTTTTTCCCTCATTTTCTATATTTGTAGGACTATTATTATAATTAATAATTATAATATATTATCATTATATTTTACAAAAAATAGTAGTGCTTTTTTTTTTTTTTTTTAACATCCGGCCTCTCTCTCTCTCTCTCTCTTTTTTCAGTTTCTATATTTATTGGACTATTATTATATGGCAAAATATATTATTTAGGTCCTTATTTATTAGAAATATATTTTGTTTAAATAATAAAATTATTTATAGTTAATAATTATAATACATTATCATTATATTTTACAAAAAATATCAAATAATTATTATAAAAATAGAAATATATTTTTTAAATAATAAAATTAATTTATAGTTAATAATTATAATACATTATCATTATATTTTACAAAAAAAATATCAAATAATTATTATAAAATGGTTATTTGTATTTTGGTTGTGAATATTATATTTATGTAGTGCTTTTTTGTTTTTTTTTTTTAACGTCCGGCCTTTTTTTTTTTTTTTTCAGTTTCTATATTTGTAGGACTATTATTATATGGCCAAATATATTATTTATGTCCTTATTTATTAGAAATATTTTTTTTAAATAATAACATTATTTATAGTTAATAATTATAATATATTATCGTTATATTTTATAAAAAATATAAAATAATTATTATAAAATAGTTATTTGTATTTTGATTGTGAATACTGTATTTATTATACAATATAATATTTTGTTATTATTTTAAATGATGATATAAATAATATATTAATATATTATTATATTATTTTACTAATTTGAATAGATATAAAAATTGATAAGTATTTTAGTAATATAATATATTTGATAATTATACCATATAATTAAATTAATATTACATTGTATTAGTTAAATATTATTTTTAGTATATTGGTATAATAATATAATATTTATTAATAAATGATTTATTTAAATATCATATGACAATTGTTCCCCTTCCGTATAAATAATTTATTTTTATATTTTTTATCATGAAATTAGGTGTGAAAATATAAAAAAAGATCATTTTTTTTTATTTTACATATAGTTTGACACTAATGGAATATATATGATATTTTTTTAAAATTTTAGTTTGAACATATATATCTGATTATATTATTTTTATTATTTAAAATTTTATTCTTCAATTGTTTGTTTCTTATTAAAATTCTCATCGAATTAATTTTTAAATTTTATATAATTTTATTTGTTAATAAATTTGATTTTTTTATATATGGCTTTTGAAATAAAATTTTAGAACTTGATTGTTTTATTTTTTTAAAAAATATATTATTATAATTTATATGATTGATTATTTTTATGATTTTTCAATGAAAATGACGTTGTTGTATATATAAATTCCGTGAGAAAAAGAGAGCTGGAAGTGTGTTTCGGATGTTATAATTATTCTAAACAAAAAACTTAAAGAACTAGGGTTTTTCCTATTCATTTCCTATAGCGTTTTATTTATTTATTTATTTATTAGTGTTGGACTAGAGAAGCGGGCTCCAGCAGTTGGCTCGGCTCATTTCACTATAGTATTTTTTTATAGGGCTGACCTAGAGAAGCATTTCCATTTTTTTTTTAATTAGGCTAGCCTTGAGAAGCGGGCTCAAGTAGGCCTACACAAGCAGATCCTAACCAACGTTTGCCTTCTTTTTTTTTTCATCTAATAATTTATTTTTATATTTTTTTATCAAGAAATTAGGTGTGAAAATATAAAAAAGATTGTTATTTTTTTTTGTTTTACATACATTTTTATAGCGATAGAATATATATAATATTTTTAAAAATTTTAGTTTAACCATATATATTTAATTATATTATTTTTATTTTTTAAAATTTATTTCTTCGATTGTTTGTTTCTTATTAAAATTCTCATCGAATTAATTTTTTAATTTTATATAATTTTATTCGTTAATAATTTTGATTTTTTATATGTGGATTTTGAAATAAAATTTTAGAACTTGATTGTTTTATTTTTTAAAATATATTATTATAATTTATACGATTGATTGTTTTTATGATTTTTAAACGAGAGTAGCGTAATTGCATATGTAAATTCCGATGAGGGAGAGAGAGCTAAAAATATGTTTTAGATAATTTTACTTAATTTTTTTAATAAATAATAATCAGTTAAAAAATTAATTTGACTCAATTTGTTTTTTTAAAAATTAATAATTAGTTAAAAAAATTCACATGTTTTATTATAAAGAAAATTAAAAGAATTAGGATATTTGAAGAGTGGCTACTCGTTTATTTACTATAGATTGTAAGTTTTTTAATATTTTGGTCTTTGATATTTTTGAAAGATGAATTTTTCTATGGTGATTTCAGCTATCAAATAACTAGAGGAGATAGATTGGACCCAAAAGAGAAAAAAAAGTTTGATTTGATTATGTATTTTTCTTTTGTTTTAATGTGCATTAAAATGATTTTTAAGAATTTAAAAGTATTTTTTCACTTTATTTCGTTCATTTAAAGGTGTTTGAGGAAAAAACATAATGCCATAACCGAGTTTCTTGGAGTCCGAAACTGGACCCGTGAATTTTTGACGAAAATTCGACAAGTTAGAATTCGTCGAAAGTTGCAGATTTTTTTTTTTTTTTTTGGGTTGAACAGATTGCTGAAACCTAGAGAAGCATACCCAAAAGGCACAGTGCTTGGGCCGAGCAATCCCGGCCTAGCTCGCAGAGCTAAGCACGTTGGCCTCTACCGGCCGCATAGGCCAACTAAGAACAACCTTGTCATTTTTTTCTTCTTATAATTTATTTTATATTTTTAAAAGTTTGGCCAGCTATCTCATGATAGAACAAAAAAAAAAGTTTATTGATTATTTTACATCTTGATGTGTTTTAGGATTGCATCACCAAGAGGTAAAAGGAAATCCTTAAAAGAATATACATATTGCCATAGCATCACAGGACCTCCAACAAATATTGTACAAGTTAAGCGATCATATATAATTGGTCCCTTCATTGGGAAAGAAAATATATAAATTATTGGTTCCTTTAATGTACTTGAATCAATATTAATTTATTTCTTCAATTATTTGTTTCTTATTAAAATTCTTATTAAATTAATTTTTTAATTTTTTGATAAAATTTTATTTGTTAATAAGTTTGGTTTTTTAATATATGAATTTTGGAATAAAATTTTAGAACGTCAATGTTTTATTTTTTAAAATATATTATTATAATTTATGCAATAAATTATTTTTATATTTTTAAATGAGTGTTTTATGTTTTAATATATATATATATATATATATATAGAGAGAGAGAGAGAGAGAGAGAGAGAGAGAGAGAGAGAGAGAGAGAGAGAGCTAAAAGTATATTTTAGATAGTTTGACTCAATTTAAAAAAAAAAAACAATGAGTTAAAAAATTCACAAGTTTTATTTGTTTTTTTGTATACATTTATTTAGAATTTATAAGAATCAATTTTGTTGTAGTTTTATTTTATTTTGTTGACTTCAATATATTTCTACAAGTTTAGGTGGTTTTTTTTTGTATATTTTTCTATTTATTCTATATACTCCGAATTATATATATATATATATATATATATCATTAGTTTTTTTTTTTAGAAATTAACTATATATAGATTCAATTTATATTAATTACTAAAAATAAAACTTTCTACTTAAATTACATCATACGAATCGTTAACCCTACGTATATAACGATTATCTCACTCGCAGACGTAGCGCAGTATATCCAACTAGTTATTATCTATAAAAGTTAAAATTTTTTTTCTTGGTTTTAATTGTAAGGGCATATTCAAACTTTTATTTATTTTTTTTGGTGGACTAATGCTAAGTTCTTCTAATATCGGTTTCAAACAACCATACATAATCATACTAGTACATTTATAATACATCATTTTTTCAACTTCTCATAGAATTTAAACATTATAATAATATGAGAATTTATTCTACTTAACCAATCAGATTAAACCTTTACTAATACCTTATCTTTATAGTTCATTTCTTGAATTTTATTTTTTGTTAAAATCATCACATGCACTCCAAAAATATGAAACAACAGAATAAGAGAAAAGTAAGAAAAAACGCAACACAAGAGGGAGAACTAGGCTAGGCTATGGCATAACATAGGAACTTGTCGAAACCAAAGGGGCAACTTTGACAAATAATAAACTATAGGGATAGAAGTGGAAAAGTAGAATACTTACAGGGTGAAGTTTACCAAAATAGAAGACAACGAAAGCAAAGGGCAGTTGAGTTGTAACGTGGCAGGTTAGGGCTTTTTCTAGGGGACATAAAAATAAGCGGTTGGTAGTCAAAGCCCATAAATGTAATTAAATTAACAAAAAAAATCACCTTCAACTTTCCAAAAATATAAATAAATTCCCCTAAACCTCCCTTTCTCGTTTCTGGCTAAACTGTCTCTGTTTCTGCCTCCATCGTTCTCTTCATTTTGTTTAGAACATTGTTTTCTATTTGACGACGCTGTTTGTTGCTTCCTTATCCTCAAGAGAAAGAGAGAGATTCTGACACCATGAGGAAGAAACTCGACACTCGTTTCCCTGCCGTAAGTTCTTTGTTTCCTCTTTTTTTCCTTTCATGTTTTTTGAATTAAAAATTGCGTAGTGTTTATTTTTTTATTCTACGATTTTTATTATTAATTTTTTCATGGTTGACGATTCGGCTATTTGAGTTAGTTTCTTTTTTCCTTTTCATTATTATTATTATTATTATCGTTAATACTAACATGGGGTTAGTGAATTATTAATATTTAAGGCACTGTCTAACCTGTATGGAGTCTTAGAATTGCCTTTTTCTTTAATATTGCATGCGCTTTTGCTTGCTACTGAATCTGGTGGTCCATCTGGGACAGTTTGTTGGATTGGTTATGTTTTTCGTGTATTTACTTGGCAGAAATGGCAAAACATGGGTGGACCAACACATGTTTTTGTTTGGTTAAATTTGAGAAAGGACCAATTTGATTATGGTTAATGAATTGTGGATTTTTAGGGCACTGCCTTATGTGTATTGACTCTTTATAGCTTGCCCTTTACCACTTTTTTACATGTACTTTGCGTGCTACTGAATTTTGTCAGATGCCTATTTGTTTCATTACTTTGTTGTTCCCATTCGGGGCAATTTGCTGGATTGGTTATGTATTCGTGATGTTTTTGGGTTTTTTTTCCTCTTACTAGTGAGAGTTTTTTTCACCTGCTGCCCTGTTTTCTAGGGTTTCTAAATTGTTTGAGAGATGTAAACTTTAATACTAGCATACTGAATACTAATTACTTGATTTTGTAATTTTTGGTTGCTGTTGGTGCGACTTTGCGGCAACAGGAATGAAATCATCTTTTTTTAGAATGGTCTTTACCGTTTGTTTTACTACCTGTTAAGTAAATTTGTTTTGTTCCACTTACACGTCGTATGATAGATGAAGGTAGTTTTATTCTGTGAAACAGAGACATTTTAAATATCGAATTGAAAGTTTAGTCTTTAAACCCAACTAATTGCAGGAGTGTGCAGAACTGAGAGGGAACTGAAACTAACCATTTAGAAGTGATAACTGGTTAGACTGAATAACATAGCAGCAAAAAATTGTTTATTACAAGCTTGTGTGTGAGCACACTCAGACACACACAAATTAAGGAGTTTTTAGTTTTACACTGCTATTAGACATTCGATTTGTTCTGTACTGCATGGTGGACATGAAGTTATCATGTTCTTCCTTCATATCTCACCTTTCCTTGGTAGTTCAATTCCAAAAGAGCAGAGAACTGTTCTCAACCATAAATTTTGTATAGGAATTGGTATTTGGTAGTTTCGTCACTAGAGCAAATTCCTTGTTCTCTCCAACACCCCCCCCACCTCCCCTCTTAAGACCCTGCTTCCAAAGCTATCAGTTTTTCCTTTGTGACAAGCCTATTCCAAAGGCTTCAGCTTCCGAACATTGCAAGAACAGGTATTGCCACTCATAAAGCACTTGTACCATGTAGAGGCTCAGCTTTTGGTTTGCGTCCATTTCAATTTGAGGGTAATGTAGTGGTTCAACCTTTTACTAGGCCTATTAATACATTGAGATGTGAATGAGCTATAAGCAATTAACAGATCACTTGAATTCTTGCATAGGGTTTTTTTCCCCTAGCTTGTCCAGTGATTTTATTTTTATTATGTTTATTTTTCTATCATCTGATTGTTTACTTTATCTTGGTATTATTTGACAGGCTCGGATTAAGAAGATTATGCAAACTGATGAGGATGTCGGGAAGATTGCCATGGCTGTGCCTCTTCTTGTTTGTAAGTAAATAAATATGGTCATGCTTATGCAATGAATTGAAATTTGGCCCCTTTCTATTTTCTTTAACATCACGTTTTTTACCAGCTCTTCATAAAGTCCTGCTATGCCAATGCCACGATTGGAAATCCCCCTTCTCCTTCCCCTCCCCTCCTTTTCTATTTTCATGCACTGCATTTATTTTATTCCACTTGTTTTTTCTTATGTTTGTTTCATTCATAGTACTAATTCAATTTGTATTGAAACGTGCAGCTAAAGCTTTGGAACTATTTTTGCAAGATCTATGTGACCGAACTTATGAAATAACTCTGAAAAGGGGAGCCAAGACCTTGAATTCATTCCATTTGTAAGTGAGATTTTTCTGTTGTTTTGGGCTTACGAATCTACTTGTGGGTGCCAAGCTGGTTACTGTAGTTTATTTTGGTCCTTAGAGCTGAACCTCCCTGACCCAGTTACCTTGTGATGCCTTAAGCACTGGATGCCAATTTACTGAAAGCCTTTTGTTTACTGCTTTGGTTGTGTCATGGTCATTCTTATACATATAGTTGGCCTGGGCCCAATTCTTACTTAATAGGAAATAGATACGGCTTTAGATATATGCATCCCATCCCTTCTCTCTTTCTTTCTATCTCACTTACACAAGTCCCCGTGTGACCTCATGCACTCGTGTGTGCACGTGTGCATTAGAAGTTGGTGTTTTCTACACCTAACTTCAGTGAGTAGAGGTGGTCTGACTTTTTCTGTGAAATTTACAGGAAACAGTGTGTACAGACTTTCAATGTATTTGATTTTCTGAGGGAAATTGTGAGCAAAGTTCCAGATTTAGGCGGCCCTGATGCTGCTGGTGATGATCGTGGTGCTGCCAAAAGAAGGTTTGGAATGTCTAGTCTTATATTTTCCTTTTTTGTTTGGACATTTAGATTGTTTGATGACTAATGACATTCTTATTGCTTCAACTTTAGGAAAGTTGCTGACGACGAAGATGATGACAGTGAGGAGGAGTGCAACACAAGCATAGCAGTAAGTTTTAGTGTGTTGCATTATATAAAATGGAGAAAGAAAACCATACAAGTGTTTTGCATAAAGTTTTCGTGTCTTGCATTAAATAAAATGGAGCAAGAAAACTATGCGTGGGTTTTGCATAAAGTTTGATCTCAGCATTTACAAGTTATCCATATAGTTGGATGTTGAATTTCATGTTATCTTGTAGATCATGTGGAAGCTATTTATGATAGATGTCTGCAAACATGCTCTTAGTTTATACGGTGTTATTTATTTGTGCAACAAGTTAGATTGTATTCCCTGCCGCAGATTGTTTCTGCACTCCACTGATTAGAAGGCATATGGTGGGAACTTTAAACCAATATAGAAAATAAGCTTCTATGGATTTATTCTGCATTTTACTTTTTTGAACAATATGTTGAACTAGAACGCAACCCCACAATTTCGTTGACAGCATGAGATTACCCAGACAAGCAGCAGTGGCAGAGGAAGAGGTAGGGGCAGAGGTAGAGGGCGTGGCCGGGGGACAAAAGCAGTGGATAGAGAGACAGCTGCACAGAATGGGAAGTTTGAAGATGATCCAGACATTGGTCATCACAATGACAAGAACAGCCCAAATCTTCGAAGGATATACAAGAATCATGAGCTCGAAGATTTGAAGGATAATATTACAGCTGGCAGAAATTTACCAACTCCAGTCCATGACTTTGACCTGAATGTGGACTTGGATGAGAATGGAGAAACAAAGCCAGTGTCAGCTTCTGTCCCTGCCAGTTCCTCAACAAAATCTGACGCTGTTGTCCCTGCTAATTCCTCAACAAAATCTGACACTGTTGTCCCTGCAAGTTCCTCAACAAAACCAACTCCTGAATTGAAGCATGAGGAAGTACCTGGATGGTCTCTTGCAGACATTGAAAAGATGGATATCGATCCCATTCAACTTGCGAGCCTAAATACAAGAATAGATGAGGAGGAAGATTATGATGAAGAAGACTGAAGTTACTAGCTAGTGTATTTTGTTTTGCTGTATATAGCTTCTCACACCCTATAGGTTTTAGGTCCTTGTAGGAAATGTAAATCTGAACGTTAAGATTATTGAAGCTGATGGTAGGGACTAGGGGGGTTAGGTTTAAGTGTTAAGATTGAAACATCATTACAGAGTAGGCAGAAGTTGCTAGGACTTAAATGTTTGTCTTCATCTTCTACAGTTGGCTGACAACAGCTAGAATTTAGATGACACATTAGCTTCCCTAGTCATATAGAGATCAAGTTTGTTTAACTCTTCCTGTCTTTAAGATGCAATTCGTTAGGAATTTCTTCTAGAAGTTAGAGAACAGATTTTACGTATGGAGGCCCATATAACGGTTGGCATATTTCTGTTTCATTCTCCAGTCAATGGCCATGGATAATGGGTCCATGAATAAACCATAAAGAGTCCGTATGCCAAAAGCAGCATTTGACTTTGAACAGGTAGGCAACAAAGAGCCTAGCTTGATCCAAAACCACTTGGAAGTCCAAGTTAAGCTTACGTGTTGGGGAAATCCTTCTTGTATATACAGGAATGAGAAACCACATGGAGACACTAGTTTTTCGACTAAAACCAACTCCTAATATTTCCTAGTTGCGACTAATCTCTCCTAGCTCTCTCTCTCTCTCTCTCTCTCTCTCTCTATATATATATATATATATATTTATATATATTACGGTAATCTATAGTTACATGTCTCAATAAACAATGAAATTTATAAAAATTTGTTCAACATACATCCATTGATAACTAAGGAAAAGACTCATTCCAACATTGCCTTCTAAAGGCCTCGACTCCACTTCATGATGTACAACTGAAAATTCAAATTATATATGGACTTGGGAAAAGTTTAGTTGCCATAGCAGGCAGAAAGGTGCAGCATTGCCCTCCTTTTCTCTCTGGTGGCCTTCGCTCCATGGTTCCTAATCCCTTGGTCTGTTTGTCTTTGTCGAACACGGGCTATGACAAAATGGGATGCGGATGTCGTTGTAGGAGCTTGTCGTCGAGAAATAGTTGATAGAGTTGGTTAGCTGTATGAAGCGGAGGTGAAAGAGGATATGTTCAGAATTTGATTGGAAGAGACTGAAGTACTAGCATTGAAATCCTTGACGCTTCAAGCTTGGAAAAAAAAAAAAAAAAAAACAAAGAAAAAAGAGAGATTGGTCAGATGGTTTATGGATATGCTCCAATTTTAACTAGCAAGTTAAAATTCCTTAGTGTAATAACTAAATTCACATAATTTTCTTAAGTCCATGATGAATAACATGTTTTTTTTTACCAGATTGAAGAGATATTTAATCTCAATGTATGAAAGCTAGCTCAAGATTACCTATGATCGTAAACCTTAAAAAACTTTTAAGCCCTTAACACTTTTAGATCTTTATAAAAATGCTAGAGTTCAATTTTTTATATCTTTTTAAAAAATTTCCCAAGATTTATGTAGTATTTCTTATTCAGTTTTATTACGTTTTAAGACCTCTTGATATTTAAATAAAGAGTCAATTATATTTTTTATGAATAAAATTATTAATTTTTTCTATTTAAGTATACTAGGCTGTAATTTTTTTTTCTAGAATGACAGTAGTATTTTGTTGCGTCTTCCGTTGATTTTTTTTTTTTTAAACAAAATCTAACGTCCTTTTGCCTTCATCAATAGCGTCCCCCCTCCTCTTTTTTTTTTTTTTTTGGAGAAGATCATGCTACCTTTAGACCTGTGTAAGATGAATCTTTATCTTCATATAAGATGATAATTTTGGCATTTGAAATGTGCGATTTCGGTTTTTAGAAAGATTTATGGTGCTTTTAGACTCAGGTCATATATGCCTTTATACCTGAACAAGATAGTCACAACCTTTTTCCAACCCTAAAAGCTTACCCTTCGAGAAAATCAGGGTGTTTGTAGACCTGGGCAAAATAATGAACCACGAGCCTTTAAAGGCTTGAAGTTTTTCGAGAGAAAATTTGTGTTTTCAGCAAGGTGTTGTCATGCTCAAATATGACAATTATTTTGGCTCATTGGGAACCCCACACGTTATTTATACGGGAGTTGGAAACTTCTTTGAGAGGTAGACATATTTTTGACCATCTTGGAGATTCATGATACCTTTAGACCCGAGCAAGGTATAACTTTAGAGCTGGACAAGGTATATTATCATGAATTTTGGGGTTCTGAAATCTTGTGGTCTGGTGGCAATATTTTGAGGGTTATTTCTCCTTCTTGTTTCCGAATGTCTCTAGACCTATGTGAGATAAGCTTTTTTCTTTGTACAAGATAATAATCTTGGTTTTTGAAGAATGAGATTTCGATTCCTAGGAAGGTTTGTGGTGTCTTTAGAGCTAGACAAGATATGGAATTATACTTGTTTAAGGTAGTAACCACAACCTTCTTTAACACTAGGAACTTACTAATTACCAGCTACATCATTGAGAATTCCTTATATATGCTTTAAGGTACCCTTGTTCTTAGATAGAGTAATGATCCAAAACTTTACGAGGGGGAGGTTTTGGTTTCTGTAAAGGGACATCGTGCCTTTATACCTGGCAAGGTAATGATCAAGGTATTTTGTAGCCAGAAGAATTTACTCCTTGTCAATCATGTTTTTAAGTACCTTTTATATTTGTGTGTATTTTGATATGGTCGGGAACCAAAAACTCCAAAAAAATCCCTCAAATTTTGTTCTTTTTCTCGGTTTTCCCTCTCTTTCCCCTACCTAGAATTCTTCACCCCCTTCTTGCTGTCTAACGCAAGCCTTTTATAGACACAAATTTGCTTAAATCTCTTCTCTCTAAAATCAATCCATTCAACTGGATTTCAGCTGCTAAAGCTGAATTTTTGCCTTTGATTAGCCAAATCAATGAAAATCAATTCGTTGAGGCATGATTCTTAACTAGTATCAAGTTCAACTAAGAATCACAGTGAAAGTAATTTAAAACAAACAAAATCAGAGGAAGATTTGTTTCTTGGAAAATATTGAAGAACAATCCCATGAGAGATTTTTTGGATTGGACGATAGGTAGTCCGCTAAACTTTGGTCCTATTGTTTGCTCCAAAATTTTAATTTGCTCTTTGTGAATTTTAATTACCTGTAATCATGTCCTTTTGCTATGCAATTTCAATTCTTATAAAGCATAGTTTTATCAATTGGGTCCTTATGGAATTTAATTTAGATTTAAATTTTTTTAATTGATTCAATTGTATCCCTAATTACCTTAATTATATTTTTGTTTAATGCGATTGTGTCCCTAGATGATTTTTTTTGTATTTTCTATATATTTCCTTTTTTGTATTTTTATCATTTTTCCTTTTTTTTTGTTTTCGTTTTTGCAGTAAACTTTAAAATCAAATCAAAATGAAATAAAAAATAAAAAAAATGAGAAATAAATAATAACAAAAAATGTGAGAAAATTTTTGGGTTATGACAACCATTTTTCCTCAAATACGGATTGTGGAAACAAAATCATTGATAACTTTTCACTTATGTGATAAAACCATTAATGATTTTAAAATTATTTCATATATTTTCCGTTTATCGGAAAATAGACTACTAGAGAATTTTCATCTACGGGGAAGAAATTGTTAATGAATCTAAAATCATTTTTTTTTTATCAAAATGTGACTGTGGAAATGAAGTTATCGGTAATTAAATTTCTAATTTATTGTTTTATTATTACCTTCCTCAATGCCCATTATATATGTAGTGTAACAATTATATTTCCCCTCATTTATCAATTAAAATAAAAAGCTCAATACTACATAACAACACGAGGCAGCTGGAGTGCTGATCTTTTACATTGAAATTTAACTCGGTAACATGCCCAAGTTTTTAATTCAAAACATACATACAGTACTACAGTACTTCACACACTTAGGAAATATTCATAGAATCGAGTTTCACTGGATAATAATTATCATAGTTGTCATAACCAAAAAAAAAAAAAAATGAATGAAAAAAAATTATAATAATAGCTTTTTGAAATGTTTTATTTCTTTATTTCTAGTTTATTTCATTTTATTTTTATTTTTATTTTTATTTTATTTTTGGAAAAAAAAGAAAAAAAAGAGAAAAAAATATATACAAAATTTTCAAGGGCATAATTGAATCGCTTAAAGAAATTCAATAACCGAATTGCTATTTGTGGGGACCAAATCGAAAAAAATATTCCTTACATGATCGAAATTGCGCCAAATAGGCATGATTGCAAATAACTAAAATTTCCAGGGACCAAAGTGGAAGCTCGGAGTGAATGACAGGACTAAAGTTGAACGAATGACATGTCGTTCACTCTAGCCCGAATTTCACTCCGATTCCCTCCAAAATTTGATTGAAAGTTATCCTAATCCTCTAACCGTTTTTGGATTTCTTCGAATTTGATTTATCCCGATTATTTAGTTAATCAAATTCGAAATCAATAACATGATTTTGAGTTCAAATAGGTTAGGTAAAAATCTGAATTTGAAAGTGTTTGAGTTGGAGTAGAATTCAAATGGGAGTGCCTATAAAAGAGGTTACAATTGAAGGCTAAGGGAGGTTTTTTTTTGGGGGAGGAAAAGGAGTGGAGAAAAGAAAAAAAGAGGATAGAGGAACAAATCTAGGTTTGAGAGAGAGTTAAAAGGAGAGAAAACGTAAAATTTGAGAGACTTTTTTTTTGGTTTGGCTCCTACTTTTTTCTAGGAATTTTTCAGGCGGGGTTTGATGTTCATCACAATTTTGGGTTCGTGTTCTTCATTTTCTCGGGTAAATTGAAGGGAATTTTGCTTTAGTTTGTTTAAGATTGTGGTTTAGCGGTTAGGGAGAAAACAAATCAAAAGTGAAAGATTGAAGATCGCGAAATTTCAGCATCGTTGGGTTTCCGGGTTGCTGCATTTTCCGGGCATTCGTTCTTGGTGTTCATCCTTTTCCGGGTTTTCCAACGAGCTTCAATAGGCAAATCGGCTTTGATTCTTGGGTCCGGACATTAACCACATCGCCCAAACTTGCCATGAACAACTAATCTTCTTGAATTCGACCCCGGTATTCATCAACACGAACAATTCAGCAACAATAATGCAAGGTGGAGTGTTCTCATTCAAAATTAATCAAACTCGCAAAATTGACAACGACAACAAGACAACGAGTCCAAATATTATCCTTCACTCCTTCGGTTTTTGCACGAGTATCTTAGGCCAACTATATTCCATTTCTAATTAGTGCTTAGGTTCTTGTTAAGTAGAAGGTAGATTCAAAATAGAGAGAGAAACGAAAAAAATATGAACATGAGAGAGAGGAAGTCGAATTAAAGAGAAAGGGATTTTGATCGAAAATAAAAAGGAAATGGTGATTGGGTCGCGTTTCCGGGCCTTAGCCTAGTTCGGTGTAAAAAAAAAAAAAGGAAAAAGAAATGGGGATTGGGCTTGTACTAATAAAGACTATTTTTGGGCTTAAAAAAATGAAAAGAAGGCGAAACCGGTTTTAGTCCAAACTTTCGCCCCCACTCTTCTCCACGGAAAATAAATAAATAAAAGAACCAATTGGAAGTCGGAACTAATCCAGACTTCACCAAAAAAATAGAAAAATAATATATATATATATATTAAAAAGAAAAAGAAAAAAAGAAAAAAGAAAATTGGAGCGTTGGGCCAATGGAATTAAAAAAAAAAGATTTCTTTGGATATTTGTGATTTTTGTTTATTATTATATACTCTTGTTGTATTTGTTCTTTATTACTTCGCATTAATTTAGATTCACTATTTTAATCATTGTTTGTTTATTTATTTATTTAATTAGCTTTAAAATTTTGGCAATTTGTTTTTGTTTCCAGTAATTAGGTTAGATAATTATTTGATAAAAGAATTATCAAGTCTCCCGAATTTTTTCTAGGGACTTATAAATTTTTTATGAACAAAATAAAAAAATATACAATAAAAATTCTCAACGAAGTTTCCTATCTAATAGGGACTGTCGTTACCAAAAATCATTTAATGATCGGGATGTTCTTTGACACATCGGTTGTATCAAGGCTTTAAGTGGATCCGATGTTTGAACCGACGTGTCGCCCGATGAAGGGGACCGACGATCGCTTCAATACGATGCCACGCTCAAAACTAAAAATCAAAATTTGCTAAAATAATTGTTTAAAAATTAGAAAACAAATTGGCATAAATGAACAATGTAAGAGATAAATTTAGGACTAGAACAAGATGTGGTACCTTTCTTCGGAAAGTGGCACTTTTAGGGTGAATAATTATCTTCCTAAAAGTGTAATCAACTCGCTTACCATAGAATCTCTAGACTAGTGTTATTTTTAGGTTCCTAGTTCCTTAATACTAGGTGGCGACTCCAAAGCTCGTAAATAAACTTATAAATATTAATCACATTCGGTAAATTTTAATTTTTGGAGTCCCGTCCGATATCGGGTAACGACAGAATGGCGACTCCACTCGGGGATTTTTAAGTTAGGCCATAGGATTAGCTTCTTAATCTATCTCTTATATTTATTTTTGTCAGTTTATTTTCTGAATTTTATTTTATTTTATTTGTACATATTTTATTTGTTGTAATTTATTTTAGTATTGTACGTTTATTTTATTTTATTTTATTTGAACTGGGTTGTGTATTTTTTTTGTAAATTGTTGCACACACCACGAAGGAAACCTATAAAAGCTCGGACACGAGCTCAACCCTAATAGGAATTAGATAGAGGGATTTGGAGGCGAGTATGACGAAAGTCTACCGATGCTCTTCCGTACTCTCGTTTGGACCGAAACTCACCCTATACATTGGAAATGGTTGAATAAAGCTCCCCTACCTCCGTTGTATAAGGTTAGAGGCTCGATTACCCCACTGGTAATTTAGGCGAGTCCGAAACTTGAAAATTTTTTAGGACTAGTCAAGCTTTGTACCCAATCATAGAAAAGCTAGATCTTGTCTATTAAGGTTGACCCAATTAAGACACGAATCAGTATCAAATGATGTCGATACTAACCCTTAGTTTTATAGGTTATCCTTCATATTAAATCATGACATAAGAAATTAAAAACGAGGTTGAGGATTTTAGGGTCGGATCCGAGCGGGCCCAAAGGGATGAAGGAGATTGTCCGCCTCAAATTTCATGTCGACCCTACCGAAAAGTGGTCAAATTGGTCGACAAGATGGTCAACACTAGTCCGCTTCTCGCTTGTTGGGAAATGCTCACTCCTAGAGATAAATCGACTTCCAAAAAGCGTATGGAGACATAGCTTATCCGATCAAGATCAAGGCTTAGACCGCATGCTTCCAAGCTATGATAGAACATTGAGACCCGGATTATCGTTGTTTCACTTTTGGAAGTGTAGACCTATCACCTACACTCGAGGAATATGAGGCTCTGCTAGCATCTCCCGAAACAAAAGTCGTCTACTTCTACAGTTCGCCCGATCATGGTCCATCAAATTTTGCATGGTTGATCTGGAGTTAATACCACCTCGGCCAAGAATCGACTAACTATGAGGGGTAAATCTCAAGGTTGGTTTTGGGACATTCTCCAAGTAGAGTTCATGAAGCATTTGCAAGATCTTGATAACCGACTTAGGCTTCAAATTTTGGCATTAACAATATATGGGCTAGTATTATTCCCATCGACCGAAGGCATGATCGACGTTGAGGCCGTCAACGTATTTATGAGTGTGGTATCTTTCTAAGTTAACCCCATTGCAGCAATCCTGGCGGAAACACTCTCCTCATTAAACTTCGTCGAAAGAAAGGAGGTGGACATTTGAGGTGTTGTGTCCAGTTGTTGTTTGTATGGATCGTAAGCTATGTAGTGATCGGTGAAGCCTCCGGCATCTTTCGCACCCCATGGCATCCGCATTCTAAGTTAGAAAATTTTGCTTGTCACGCCCTCAATGAGTTAGGCAAGACAATGTGGGCCGAGTTATTCTTCATTTTAGAGAAGTCGAATTTCATTGGAGAGCACGGTATGCTTTTTCCGGAGCTACACAGCCTTTTATGGCAATTTTGCTTGGGTGCCGCTAATTGGAGCTCGTTGTTGCATCGCCTATCGTCCAAATATGTTTCTAAGACAGGTTAGGGTTCGAACGAGTTCATCCCAAGAACGACCGGTCTAAATGAGTTTTACAAAGACTTGAGGGTTTCTAAGAATTTGTTAGAGAAAGCTAAGGTTGCTTTGAGAAATAGAGGGATAGTCACCCCGAAAGAAGAGTGGATGGAAGGACTTCACTCGGATATCCAAAATGGCAAAACACTAGAGGGAAAGGATATCGTGTACCACCATTCGAAGGCCCATCTCGATTGATTAATGAGACAATGGAGGATGTTCGCCAAGAAGTGAATGCCCAACATGAGATGCTCAATGAGGGCCTAAATGCTCAAGTGGTTGAACTAACTCAAAAGAAGAGGAAGTTGGAGGAAATTCGAACGTCAAAGATGATATGATGAAAGCTTTGAAGGAAGAAAATAAGAAGCTTCGTAGCCAACTCCAATTGACAAAAGGAGTTGTTGATAGACTTAGAGATGAGAAAGATAGCCTTGAGGAATTCAAAGATACCGCACGAGAACGACTTGCAAATCAATCAGACATAATACGTAATTTGAATACTCGTATGGAAGAATTAAAAGGAAAGGATAGGGTCAACCGAGATCGACTCGTCGGATCTAGAGAAGAACACCTCGCGGTTAGACGAGCAATGACAAAAGAGATAGATGCTTTGAG